CGGATCTACACAATGTCAATGCCCGGTAAATATCTGCCAGTACTAGAGGAGCAAGTGTATGATCATTCTTTGTAATAAGGGTTTGTGCAACTCTAGCCATGCGGGTATCTACCGTCCCCTCGGCATTTGGAAAGACTATGATTGTCAGGAACGCAACTATGAAGGCGAACCTACAATGAATTTGCCAAAGGTTCTTGTCCTGTTTCTTGTTCAATCCTTTTTCCTGTGTTTCAAACCCGGTCGAATGCCCGAATCTAGAATAAAAAAATTGAAAGGAACAGCATCCGTTGTCTACATGAGCCTTCTTCATTTGTTTGCTGATATTAAGATGATCAAAGAATTTGTGCACTGCTGGGGCTCTCGGGAATATCAACTATTGTTTTCTCAAGTCCCGGCCAAAATGGATGTACCCAGCTATTTTATTCCAGTGTAGGGGTGAGCTCAAAATCCGAGAAGCGAAACACATTGTGCACCGGATCCCAAAAGGTTACCAAAGCTTTGATCAAATCTTCCTGTGGTTTGATTTCCAATATATCAATAAGAGTTCCCAACTGTTCTTTCACCCAGTCTTGACCATCTCCGTCCAAATCATACCACCACATGCGCAACTGCAACTGAGTCTGCTCTATGACTAGTAGTTTCGGGTCCTGGACAATGTTCATCTTGGTACCTGTGAATGATTAGGGTTAGGGTTGACTCTGACAGACTTTTGAGGAAACAGTTTTCGACTCCCTAAAGAAAATGACCCTTTCCCCTTCTACACAAAGTGACTGCTTTCGTAAATGTGGCCCCTTCGCAATTTGAAGTAAATTTTGAGGCCGGGGGAAGACACTTAGAAAAATGACCCCTCATTGACAGATTTGTTCGTTCTATACAAAAATAGCCCTTCGACAACTGAATATATTCTAAGGCTATCTCGGTGAAAACGGCGCCGAAGCTGGGTCGGCTTATTCTCGACTAAAGACCTAGCTACAACTTCACTTATTGGTTAATTTTGCAAAAAGAGGCCAAACCCTATGTAGGTTGCCTACGTATCCCACATCCGGTAGGAATCAGACCTGCGTAGTTCGGGCAGTTTTGACATAATTTTAAAAGAAAACATGAGTGACTCGTTTTGAAAAGACTCTTTTTTTTGCCTTTTGTTTTTTTGTTTTTCTTTTTCAAAACCTTCTTTTTTCTAGAAAAATTCGGCAGAGTTTCGGGATATTTTCAAATACCAGATTTATTTCCTTTCTACGCCACTCTTGGTTTTCCCCTGATTTTCTTTCCTAGTCGGTCAACATGCAAGTCGAAACAAATAAATGTTCACATAGCACGTAAGATGCATCAGGATGGTCTGTTATTTTGGGTACACCTATCCAAGACGGACCCAACCCCTGTGTTGAGTCCCCTAAGTCAAATGCACGTGATGCAAACAAACGTTCCTACTAGGGATCCGGTATGAGGTAATGTTCTTCAAAGTTTAAACCTGGGGTTGTGTTCTAGACTGGGTTTACCCGATTGGACAACTCGAGCCGAGCTGGAGGCAACGTACCGAGAGCACTAAAGTCTGTCCGGCCTTGTTGCTGGCCCATCCCTCATTCTAACTGGTATGACTTCTAACATAAAGAGGGTCACGCGAACGTGTGCACCAAATTTTAGAAGACTCAAAAGGGTGGCGTAAGAAAGGATTTTAATAACATTCAAACAATATTGAAATGGCACATAAAGGCAATTAGCACATTGGGTTCAAAAAATACAATAATATTATCAATAAATAGAGCCAAGCAAAATCATATTACAAGCTCGAATTCTTGAACCCTGAATTAGTAGTTCTGGGTTCTTATCCCCAACAGAGTCGCCAGAGCTGTCACACCTCCTTTTTCCTACCCCCGAAAAGGGGTATAAGGGAGTTTTTCCAATTTAAGTGACAATCGAAACAGGATTATTTATATTAAATCAGAGTCGCCACTTGGGATAGTTAATGGTGTCCCAAGTTACCGGTTTAGAATCCCGAATCAAGGAGATTTGACTCTGTTTTAATGTCTGTGAAACACAGAAATCCGGGTAAGGAATTCTGTTAACCTGGATGAAGGTGTTAGGCACTCCGAGTTCCGTGGTTCTAGCACGGTCGCTCTGATCATTCTTGGCTCATTAAAATTATTTAATTACTGATTTTAGAACCTATGTGCATTTGCCTTTTTAATTAAGAAATTTAAAACAGGTCACGCATACGTGTATCCATTTGTTTGGCGCGTCAAAAATCATGTCACGCGAACGTGTCCACAATTAATAACGCTTTATTATTATTAAGAATGTTTGGCCAAAGTTGCGGGAACGCATACTCCGGTTTTATTTTTAGAATATGTCACTCGAACGTGTACACAACCACGATGGTATATTAAACTTGCCTAAAGCAAACTACGAATATAATTTTTAATATCTAAGTCATGAAATCAATACGAGGGCCATAGGGATTCAATTATGGATGGCGCACCTCGGCCTAAAGAACTACATTTAATTAAAGAGGACTATATTAATAACACATTTATTATTGTTGAGGAAGTTGGTCGAAGTTGCGCGAACGCATACTCAGAATTGATTTTTAGAATCATAATTATGTCACGCGAACGTGTACACAATCACAATTGTATTTTAAACGCGCATAAATGCTTTTCTACGAATATTCATTCTTATATCTAATAATAATATTTGTGAGGGCCATTGGGGATTTAATTAGGATGGCACACCTCACTCCGTTCTAAAGAACTATACTTAATTAGGCCTAAGGGCGTTTTTATTAGCAAATAACTCGGACTTAAAGCTATTGATGATGGGCAAGGAAATATAAAGCAGGCCTATAATAATGTGGAAAAAGTGCTGGGCCAATAGCTGGCTCAGTATATTATTAAACGGGCAAACAAAGGGAGGGGGAAACGTTGGGACTGCATGGGCTTGAAATCGAACCCAACAGACATGGACCTTGAAACACTTGCCAGGCTTCATGCGGTCAAGGCCACTTCGTTTGGGGCTGACGCCCAAGCCCAAACACCCCACAAAAATACACATTTGAACTTAATTAAAAGTAAAATAACCAACTGTTAATACACATTTTCACGCAGATATGCATTAAGCAACAAAACTGGACCTTATTTCAAACACATGAAAGGTCATTAGGCCTAAATTGAGGCCCACGGCGTTTGATCTGGTTCCTATTGGGGTGGGCCTTTCTTGTTTCAAGCCCTAACATGGAGTACAATAGAAGAACACATTACTACGTATTCAATCACTACCAACAGTAATCAAACCAAAATCAATTAACAACATATCCACCATTGTTGTTATGATGATAATCATATGTGAAATTAATGAGTGCGATTGACTGTGCAGTACTATATAAGCCCTATTGCTCTTTTCACCTTTGTTTAGCTTTGTGTCAAATCACAAATCTAACTACCATTAGCCACAAAATAAGAATAGGCTTCGAGCCAAACTAAAGAGAAACAGATCATGTAGAGAAACAGCTAATCAGTAAAGGAGTAACCTTGAAATTCAAAATAAACTCAAATCCAAACTTCAAAGAGACGACACTAACTACTTCTATTACAATTTTTCATGAAACTGATATACTAGTGAATACTTGCCAAAGTGAATATGGTCTATCCACCTAAGCTTTAATCCACAACATAGAGTTATCAATCTCTAACACAACTCCAACAACAGACTTATTTTGGCTTAGTACTTGCTGATTTGGTCAACCGGTGGCCAAATCCACAAACTGTAGCCAACACTCAACAACAATAGCCTTCTCTCACACCTCCCTTTTTACCACCCGAGGGGCGATATAAGGGAGTTTTTCCAATTTAAGTAACATTATTCGAAATGAGATTATTTTATTTAATTTCTTCAGAGTCGCCACTTCGAATATTTATTATGGTGTCCCAAGTCACTAGTTTATTTAAAATCCCAAATCGAGGAAATTTTTATTGTTTAAAGTCTGCGAACCAGAAATTCTTGATAAGGAATTGTGTTAACCCGGGAGAAGGTGTTAGGCATTCCCAGGTTCCGTGGTTCTAGCACGGTCGCTTAAATTATTAATAACTGGCATATTATCTGATTAATTACAAGTTTTAAACCTATTGTGCAACTTTTTAATTATTTTAACTGCTTTTAGGATTTATGGATTTATTTTTTGAACAAGTTATGATTGTCGTACACTTGTTTGTTTTGGAACACACCGCAAACCACGCTACATGAAATGCACCCGCGATTCGCGGCATGTTTTGTTTAACATTGTTGAAGATTGAAATTGGGTCACATAAAATGTACACCCGAATTTTAGTAATTAAAAATCACAACTACGTCACGGGAACCGTACCCGTGGCTATGATGAATTTATTATAAATGCGCCCAAAGCAACTACGAAGATTCAATTTTCAATAGCAACATTTGTGAGGGCCATGGAGGATTTAATTTTATTTATGGCACACCTCAAACCTTTTTCTATAAGTGTTAGTTCTTGAATCTAATCTTATGAGGGCCATGGATTATAAATTTTATTTGGCATGACACGCCTCAATTTATTAATCACGCACAACTATTTCCATACTCTTGAGAACTTATGAGCTAGTCACAATTTCGAGGGTCTCTTAATAGTGTCTCAATTAAACAGCGGAAGGTAGAACTTTAGAAAATTAGTCCAATCACATAAAGAAGGATTCCCTGGCAAATATAGTACTGCAATGCAGATAACGCATTCCACCAAAATCACCATGTTTAGAAGTATAAATGATAAAACAAGTCAAATATTATCTCAAGATCGCTTAGTGTGAGCTACTCATTATCGAACCACAGAATTAAATTAGTACAAATTTCTAAGCACAAAAAGATGAAATTCACCAAGAATGAAGGAAACAAAGAAAAAGTAAATGACAGAGCAATTATTTGGCAAAATTAACGTATGATAACATGCCAACCACAATAACAAATGGGTCTTTAGAGAATAAGAAACAGCATATGACTAACTAAAACTCGGTACAGAGAGGATAACCTGCGTAGACTGGAGTGAGTTAACTTGGGCCATCAATTCATTTATCAAACTTGCCCGAAACTAAAGAACCGTACTATTCTAAATCTAATCCAATTTCTGATTTTCTAAGACAAACAAACATACCAAATGCCTTAACTAACGGGCCATAGTCCAGAAATGTATTGCATCTTCTTATTCAACTAATTAAACTATGTGAATCTACGACCCAAGGAAGTTAACAAATAATGGCCCCAACTATTACTTTGACCTATGTCTTATGAATCCTCCTTTGAAGAAGAACATAATTCTGAAACCTGAAAACCAAAAGAATATGGAAAACTAAGATGCATCAAGATTTATCACTACATGTGCATATCATTTCAAAACAAGATATTCTAAGCATACTAACTCTACCGATGCTGCATTTTTCAAATTATTAACAAATGAACAACATGAAGCACTTTACTAAACGCCATTTAATTTCAACTCAAACAGATCTAGCATTTACGAATTCTCATAATTCCAAAACATGAATATTTAAATACCTGGACAGTAGCAAAACCAACATATTCGCCCAAATATGGGCTTAAGAAACTTGAAAAATGGAGCTCGACAACTTTGAGACAGCAGATTCGAACAAATCGCAGCAGTAGAAATCAAGAGGGCAAAACTTGAATCTCAAATATTAACAGAGACAGCAGCGAGAAACTAGCAAATTAAAAACCTTTTTCTGAACGTGCATTAGCTAGAAATCTTGCGAAATGGCTGAAGAATCATTAAATATGTTTCCCAACTCATTGACCTCAGTCCTTGGAACTCTAGTTCTTTGCTTTGCTTTTTAACGTGAAGGGGTGGTTTTCAACAGAATTCTTAGGTGTGCAGCTGCTCCGTTTTTTGTCGAGGAGTGGGTCTGGTTTTTGTAAGGAAGAAGAAGCTAGAAACGTTGCTCTTGGGTTTCTTTCAAGGGGAGGTCATCTCTAATTATTGTCATTTTAGAAGAAGGCATGGAGGAAAAATGTGGGGGGGGGGGGGTAGGGAGGGGAGAGGGAGAGTACTGAGTGTTCGTTTTTTCGTTTTTTGTTTCGTAACGAAAGTA